CACAGCTCAGGTGACCAGAAGACACCTGGCATGGGAGGAACCAAGGAGGGACCAGACCAGTGATGGAGAACCTATGACACGCGTGTCAGAGGGACACGCGAACTCATTTTTTTTGGTTGATTTTTCTTTGTTAAATCGCATTTAAATATATAAAATAAATATCAAAAATATAAATCTTTGTTTTACTACGGTTGCAAATATCAAAAAATTTCTATATGTGACACGGGCACCAGATATTTAGGTTTTTTCAAAATGCTGCCACGCCGAGCTCAAAAGGTTCTCTGTCACTGGACCAGACCCTTACATCAGCAGAGCAGCTTGCAGCCAGCAAGGACTAATAAAAACCTCTCTCTCCCTGCTCTCTTCGCTGATGCCTTTCTCAGTCTCAGCCCCCCTGCACCCAAGTGTCAGGAATAAAATCTCTTTTGATACATTATGGCCTCATGTCACAGGTGTGCGACGCCAGCCCACTGCCGACCTTTCAAAGGCCCAGATCGTTCTCTGCCCCGCCTGCCACCCCCTCTGTGGGCTCCACACAAGCCAACTGCCACACGCACAGGTTCTTGCCCCCAAAGGGAAAAGATTTTCTTCTGACAAATGAGCTTGAGGAAATCTCTGATCTTATAATTGTATAATGATTATACTTCAATTAACATTTGGGGAACCCACTATGTCAAAATACCAAGACAGGATTAACTCACTAAAATTGTATTAAGTAAAAGCTATCATCATTTTAAAAAGTTAACACCAAGACTATACAACCTGCTCTCCCTCCACACCCTAAACCCTAGAATTTGAAAAAAGACACATTTGGATAAATAATTTTTTCTTTTATCTGTACTGACCAAGAGCTAAAATTAAGAAAATATATTTTGTTTTGAGATTCCACCTAAGTTACTGTTCAGGGGCTTTGTCACATATAAAACCTTGAAACACTGGAAGTCCCATTTTACAGATTAGAAAACTGAGGTTCAAAATAGTCAAGTGCTTTGCTCCAGTTTCAAAACTGTGACAGTGCAGGAATGTATTATACTCGGATCTCTTCCCACCAGTTGGAGAAATTATTCCAAAGACAAAAAGAAGAACATGAAAGCTATTCTAAGGAATAGTTATCTGGTAAAAAGAGGAATAAAAGTCCTCACAACAAAAATAAGACTTTTAGATGGCTGTTAGTATTGACTTTACTGTTTGTTAAAAGAATACATTAGCTTGTAAAATAACCAAAACACTATCTTGGAAAACTCTCTGAATTCTTCCATGAGGAATTGTGCATAAGCAAGCTTTCTGAAGAGCTGATTCTAACATGTTTATGTTCTTACTAGAGGCCCAGTGCATGAATTCGTCCACCAGTGGGGTCCCTCGGCCTGGCATGCAGGATCGGGTGGAAACCAGCTCTCTGACATTCCCTGAGGAGGGTGCAGGCCAGGCCGAGGGACCCCCACCGGTGCATGATTGGGGCCAGGGAGGGACACGGGAGGTTGGCCAGTTGAGGAGGGATTGCGGGAGGGCTCCAGGGTGTGTCTGGCCCGATTGGCCAGACCCCAGCAGCAAGCTCACCTACCAGTTGGAGTGTCTGCCCCCTGGTGGTCAGTGCACATCATAGTGACTGGTCAACCAGTCAACTGTCTGCCGCCTGGTGGTCAGTCCATGTCATAGCGAGCAGTTGAGCGGCCTTAGCATATAATTAGCATGTCACGCTTTGATTGGTTGAACAGACGACTGGACACTTAGCATATTGGGCTTTTATTATATCGGATATTTTTAATTTTTATTAAAAAATCTTTTAGGAATGTGTCAAATCTTTTTTTTATTTAGACCATCAAACATCCTTTAGAGCTGGGGGCTGGCAGAGGGTCAGCGCGAGTGTCAGTTCCAGCCATCAGTGGCCAGTGACCACCTCCTGGGCTGCGGGACCCGAGCTCCCAGCGCCCTCACCACCCAGCGTCAGTGGCTGTCTTCTCCGTTGTCCTTAGTTTCACCACGGCTTTGCTTCCTCTCGTGGTATCAATGGTCACCCCTAGTTTTATCTCCTCTGTACCCATTCTTTTTGCAGATTCTACTATGACTTGAGATAGCAAAGTTTATGCATAGAGCTGCTACTAGCAAAGCTACCATTTTCTGAGGACCTGCTGTTTGCTAGGCACTGTGTGCGTCATAACCTATTTCATCCTTTTTAATCCTTACACAATGCTATGAATTAGGCATTTTGTCCACTTTATAGGTGAGGACACTGGGGCTCAGATTGTTTGTCCAAGTGTTGATACCAAGTGAACCGTGGAGGCGGGGCTGAGGGAGGCTCACACCATGTGGGGGCAGAGGCGGGGCTGAGGGAGGCTCACACCATGTGCGGGCGGAGGCGGGGTGAGGGAGGCTCACACCATGTGGAGGTGGAGGCGGGGTGAGGGAGGCTCACACCATGTGGAGGTGGAGGCGGGCTGAGGGAGGCTCACAGCATGTGGAGGTGGAGGCGGGGCTGAGGGAGGCTCACAGCATGTGG